CGCTCGCGGGAGCGTCGCGGGAGGAGGGGGGAGGAGAGGAGGAGGGTCCCGCTCCAACATCCTTTCGAACCTTCTTTCTAGTACTTGTTGTTGCTTCCTACCTTCTATTATTATGCATCATGAACTTATTATGCTTCAAAGGTACTTGTAGGTCGTCGACGCCAGCCAGGTGGCATGCTAACTAGCAGGCATGAGGAGCTCAAGGATAGGGGGGGACCAGCGCCATGCAGACGAGTCACTATGACAAGTAGAAGAATCGGCAATGGAAACTGGTGGCAATGGCGACGGAAACTTTTGGCACGATGATAGCTTAGCTCAAGATGATGGCCGATGGTCCTGCTTGCTTCCCAGCACATGGAATAACAAGCGATGCGGTTGCGTCGTCAAGCTCCATGAAGCAAATATGAAGCATATATGTAGCTTGGAAATAGGAAACGACATGGGTGAACGCTTGTCAATGTTTACGAAAGCAAACAAGAACCTATTAGGAAGCATATGTGGCACCATCAAAAGAAATATTTGTGATTACCGATCTCATAAAAAAGGTTGTCCTTATAATTTGAGGTGTTTTCTTCAAGAAGCAAATTCACCGTAGGAAGGAAGCAAAATTTTATTTCTCTAGATGCACACTCCCTGTTCGGTTGAAGCATGTGCGATTGTGATAGCGAAAATAATTGTGCTTTTGATGGAAGAAAATTCCTATTACGTATGAAGCAATACTATAGTTTCTAGAAACAATATTGTGATCTTTTTTCACCAAATTGAGCGTCCAATCGACGTAAACACGTATGATTTCATTGTTATGGAAGGAAACAAAAACGTTAGGGAGTAGAATAATTTGCAACAAATTGAAATACATTGGAAACAATGTTTTCTACGTGAAAACAGGGATTATTTTCCTAAAATAGGGGGCTAATTACTCGTCAATCCCACATTATTAGCGCTAGATTACTTACCATAGAAAATAAACGCAGTCATCATTGATGCAGAAGCGGTCCCACCGAATTAGCGATCCAGTCAACCGGATCTCTTGCCTGGACTAAGTAGCAGATCCAACGTACGTGTTGCTTCCGATCCAACGGCTAATGAATGGTCTGATAGGATGCAATTAGCAGTAGGCTGATGCCTAGCGGTGTCCGATGAAAATGGACCGGCGAAAGACGGACACGTATATTTTGGCACGTATTCATCACACCAGCTGGCCAGTGCTGTTTCCAGCTTGTTTTTTTTACGCCAGTTTGTGGTTATTTTTTAATACAGTATAGTGCTCATATACTCACCCCCTGTAAACATTCACACGCAGGGGTGCCCCTATGAGCATCTCCGGGAGACTGAACCGACATCATCTTGAGATTGAGCATCTCCGGGAGACTGAACCAACATATCATCTTGAGATTGATGAAGTCGACGGGAACGTCTCCTCCCACTGAACGCGCTTCGCTGAAAATCACGAAATAAATTCAGGAAAATGCGAGCACCAGGAGGAGATCCGCCTTGTCCGCCCGCGAGATCCTCCTTGCCCGTTGGCGGTACCGGCAGCGGGTGGCGGCTGCCGGCAAGGAGTGCGACAACGATGCGGGCGAGATGTTGTTTGGCGACACCAACGAGGAGGACATCGCCGAGATCGCACCCCGGCGCCACGACCACGAAGAAGCCGGCCCGTCCGCGAGGAAGAGTAGTGCATGGTATGTCGCCACCGCTCCTATCCCAGGAAGGCCACCGTTCCTCTCCTCTCATCGACACCAAGCTTGGTGGGCTCAACATCTTCGGCCGATCCCCCACTCCCTCCTCCGT